TAACACTCCCAAGACTCTCTGTTTCTATTTAAGTCGGCAGGGGCGCCTGCAGTCCACACTGGTTTCCACATTCTACTGCAGATTTAGGAATCTATTTACTTCAGCAGTGGTGCTCCTCACTTCTGGTTAAGAGAGAATACTCAGAGGTAAAGGAGAGGCAAGACAGGCTGGCAGAAATGTGAACTAATGTTATCTTTCTTACCCTCTCTTCTATTTGACAACGCCTCACTGTCATTTTTTGAGGCTTCTCTTTTCTGAATTTTCTCCAGGAGCATTTTGGGACCTAGTACTAGGTATGTATATTTACTAACATAGGTCTTTGTTGAACCAGAAAACTACAATAATTCAGGGACAACCTTTCCTAAATTTAACCTTATCCAATTAGGGGAGTGAAGGAAACTAGACTCTGGGTGAAAGGGTACATTTTATCCCCCAGACTTTTCTACTTAACACAGCACCTTGGGCCGGGCAGACACCTGCTCGTGCTTTAGAAGCATTCTCAAATTAATATTTACTTTTCCCCTTATGCCCCCCTGGATCAGCAACATGAGAGAGTATTCTGGGGTGTAGCATACAAAAGTCTATGCAATTGTCTAGGAAAAAATGATGTCTGCCTTCTTGGGGACTCTGTCCTCACTTCACTACAGAAGCCCTGTGCTACCATTCTTTCATTTCACAGTTGTCAATTGAGACTGCTGGATGAATTCTGAGTCACAGTATTATAATTGGTTGGAGGAGAAAAAGGAGGAAAAAAAGCTGAAGGTACAAGGGTTCTTCCCTCTCCTTTGTCTCTCCTCTCACAAAGGAAGTAGGTGTTATGGAGGTTTGAAGAGTTAGTGGGTGCAAGGTTCCCTGTTAAGAGAGATGGAGAAGTCCAAACTCAATATCCTTTATAAATCAATTCACACCATGAATTGCAGGATTTGTAAGAAAGACAGAACCTCCTGGAATCCCAACTGAATTTTCTTGTCCACATTTATACAATGTAAGTGGCAAAATTAAAACTTGAACCCCCAAATGCTTAGATCCAACTTTAATGGACTTTCCATTATGCTTTTTATAACCGTCAACTTGGAGATAATTCCCTTGCCCTCACTCCACTGGGAGACCCTATTAAGAGTGTGGATGAAGCTCCTGGTTCTCCTATAATCAGCAGCTCATCCTCTGAATCAGCCTATCCTTCTGCCAAACTCCCTCTCTGACAGTGAAGGATGAACAGACACCAATTTAAAGAGGAGGTAGATGAAATGCAGGTTTCTTCTTGGTAGAAGGGCAGGGTGGCATGTGGGAACTGTGCTCGGACTTAGCATAAAAGGTCTGGACCTGGTTGGGCTATGTTTTGTGAGGTGGTTCAAGGTACCACAGGAACCCTCTAAGAGCAGGATGAGGATCTGTGGATGACATGACCCAACTTACCTTCTACACAAGCTCTTTGGGAGAATCCAAATACACACATATTGAACTTGAACACAGTTCAACTCTTTGGCATTTGCTTCAATAACCACTTAGGTTAATGGCCAATATGAGGTAAATGCTCAATAAATGTTAGTAGTTCTATTAAATATTCTGACACAATTCTCAATTCCCTGCCTCCAGCCATCACTTTCACTTTCTGCTTCTATATATTTTTTTCTCATCTTGTTACTCTGTAGCTCTTCTGTCTATGAAGCTTTTATAAAAAGGGAATAAGATTTTAGATCTGATGAGATCTTCTTTGATTTAGGTCCCAGGATAACACAGTTTTCAACCCATGTAACATATTGGCTCTTGGTGTCTGGTGACAGTTACCTCAAGGAGTATTCATTGAGGAAGTTAGGTTCCAAAAAACTTCTAAAACACATAGTCATACCCACACCAACACACCTCAAAACCCTAAGATTAAGAAAGACCTTCTATTCACAGGGAAATAAATCAAACCATTAGAAATTATTTGCAGGAGTCAGCTATATCTAGTAATTACTATATGACAGTGGTGTCTAAAATTAGTGCACCTTGCCAACAAAACGAGTTATTTTTATGACAAAGTACTTATAAATTTCAAAGAATTTCTTTCCTGAAATCTTAAGGTGAAATTAGCTTCACTATTCTTTTCTATTTGTAAAAATTTAAAGGCATTATCAAGACCAAATTCAAGCAGTAATATAAAGTCAAGGCTGATGAAACCTCATGAATATATTGTAATTGATATTGTATAGCATTTCTTTGGCATATTCACCCATCAGTTTCATCTCTTCTCTGCTGACATCTGACTTTACAAATTGTGAACACACAATAGGTACACAGTAGGTAGGGAGCCCAAGGGAATGACTTTACAGTAATGACTAAAGTGAATTTTAAGTCGAAATGCTCTGTTACCGGGAGTTTAGCTTTGTAGGACCTGTTGTGAGAGCAATATCTTAGATATGTGCTATGATGACCACACATTATCACAAAAAAAAACCTCTCTCTGATTTCACAACTATTTCAAAACCTTGTGAAAAGCCTCCTGCTTTTTTACAATCTATGCAAAGTTTACAAAGGGCCACCACCCATGACTGTGTGTCTTTAAGTTCCCACATAGGTGTGTTATCTGAATACCCCCTAAGGATCCTGTTTTTAAGACATAAAGTGCCCTTTAGAAAAAAAGTACAGCTCTGTTCCGCTAATGAGCAGATAACAGGGCAGACTTACATCGCAGCAAACTGGGATTCCAAAGCATGCCCAATCTGCCAGGGCAAGGAAGGTCAAGACATTAGGCTGATTGACAGAGATAGTGCTCAAGCCCTGGGGTTGCAGAGGCTGTGGTGTGAGAGCATCACACCCTGTCATGTTTTGTGAATCTGCAATAAAGGAGTGCTGTGTGCGGGAGAGCAGTCGCGGGCACAGCAGCGGGAACGATGCTTTCCACGTGAGCAGCTGGACAGCATCTTTCATTTTTATTTGTCCATAGAAGCCGGTAGGACCTGATCACTACCAGGATGCACCCTCCCCACTAGAATCACTGACTCTCTGCCAGCCCTGAAACAGCCAATGAAGAAGCGTGACGCCCACCCGCGTGCCCTGCTCCCAGTCGGACCCCGTCAGGCAGCCTCCCATGTTTTCCACCAGCGGCTGGAGGCCTCCGTCCACCTGCTGTGTGCGGCGGACACTAAAAGAAATAGGAGCCAAACGGTGCTTCCTGACCGGCAGAAGAGATGTCTGGAACAGGTGGCAGGGGCGGCGGCCGGGGAGGACAGACGGACTGACAACCAGACAGACAGACAGCAGGACCAGCAGACACCATCCATTACTTCCAGTCTCAGAAGAGGGGAAGCCTGCAGCGCCAGGGACGGTCCACCAGGGACAGGCAGATTAACGAGGTTCTGCCTCCCTCAAGCCGGGAGGCTTAAAGTCTTTGTGTTTTTTTTTTTTTTTTGGATAAGAAGGGACAGGGAATTTAGAAACCTGCTGCTCTTCATATAACCAGGCCAACTCTGGCCTTCCGAGTTAATGGCTCCTCTCGGAGTCTACCATAAAAGGGCAGGGATGACTGGGTTTCTCCCTGTGTTCTGTGATCGGCCCCAACAGCTGTCCTCAACGCCCCCCTCCCCCATATGGGCTGCAGCCGTGTTGGTGGAGACCCAGCAGTTTGGGGACACAGCTCCCTCCGGCTCTCTCCTGCCAGCCTCTGCTGCACCCAGGCAGAAGGAGGAAACCCCCCCTCCTGTGGCAGCATCTTCTTTTTTGGAGGCCTTTCCAGGGGTGGGCGGGGGAGAGGACCCAGCTGCCCTGAGCTCAGGTGGGTATCACCCTTTTGCCACCCCTCCTTCTCTCTTCACTAACTCCAGATGCAACAGGCTCCCTTTCGGCTCTTCATAGAAATCTTCTGCCCCTGGACACACCTTCTGGCCTTAACTTGGGGCTCCAAGGAGCTCATCTCCATCGGGGCTCTGAAGCCCCTCACTGCCAAGTTGAAAACCTTGCCCAATATTGGGAGACCCTTCTAGGGGAAGTCCCCTCCAACTCCACTCATAAACGGTGATGGGAAGCAGGTGCAGGAGGCCAGCACCCCAGGGCATGTTGGCCTGAGACTAAGGCAGGTGGCAGGACAGGGTCACCCATGCCTACATCGCCAGCCACCAGTCCGTCCCCTCCCCAAACCCAGATAAAGGGGGCATTAGACAGACGTCCGTTGCAGGGTTGGTTGAAGGGATTTAAAGGGCAGATGTGTGCAAAGATTCAGTCCTCTATTGTAAGGCTTGCACCAGGAAGGAGCAGGCCCTGGCGCTCCCTTAGAAACCAGTAAGGAGGAACCTGTATTTTATTCAGGCCAGAGTGCCCATCAGCTTCTCCCATTGTTAAAAACTTTGCATTGCCAATGGCATTATATATGGGGAAGAAAATGTCTTCACATAGGTCTTCTGTGTAGCAGACCCTGAATCAAAGGTTAAAGAGAAGCTAGGGAGGCAGGTTACCAAAGATGGCAACTACCTAAAAAAAAAGACCCAACCTCGGGCTGCGAGATGAATGAGTAGCAAAATGAACACTCAAAACAAGCATCTTTCTTGCATCAATGCTGGCACCCTTGGCTGGGGTAACCCCAACCTGCTCAACAACTCCAAGGCAAGAAGAGCTATTCTGGCAGCTCTTCCCCACCTCGCCTTCCTGCCTGTTCAGCCCCTGCCCCTCCTCTGCTCCGGCTCCGGGGCCCCTTCCTTCCACTCGGGCGGCATTTGCTCTTCTGAGCACCCACCCCCGGGTGGCCCCCGCGCACCTAGTCCTCTCCTGCACCTCGGTCCCCAGCCATCGTCTCCCCGGGTTCCCCGGCTCAGGGCTCAGCGCATCCTCGCCTGACACCTGTCCCGCACCCCCACCCGCCGCCTCCTTGCCCCGGCCTCTCGGGCCCCGGGCCCCCAGGCAGGCGCCTCCGCCCGCACCCAGCACCCGGCCCGCCCCGCCCCCACCCCCAGCCGGGAGGACCGGGCGGCCGCGGGGAACGGCCCGCGGGAGGGAGGCTCGGCGGGCCCGGCCGGCTGGCTTACTTGAGCATGGCTTCTTCCTTCTCCTCTTCCTCTTTCTGCCGGTCCATCACCGCCAGGATGATGTTCCTCTCCTCCTCAGTCAGGTGGCTCAGGTCGGGCAGCTCGGGCATCGGGGGAGGCACGGTGGGCGGGCGGGGACCCCGGGGCCCCACGGCCGAGGACATCTTCGCGGCCTGGCCCGCCCCTCCTCGATGGCCTGGGTTCGGCGCGAGCGCACCTTGGGATCCACGCCCGGCGGCGGCCGCGTCCCTGCTCGGCTCACCGCGGCGCCCTCCCGGCGGCGGGACTGGGCAGCGCGCGAGCCCGGGCTGTCATGGTCCTCCGCCTGCACCCAGCCCCGGAGGCGGCCGCCTTTGTTTTGGTGGCCCTGGCGAGGCGCGGGCGCCCGGCCGCCTCCCGCAGCCCAGCCTTCCCGGGCGGGGGCGGGAGCGCACGGGGCCGAGGATGCTCGGGGCTCGGCGAGGATGCTCCGGCTCGGCCGCCTCCGTGCGTCCGCGGTGCGGGAGGAGAGTTTGGGTGGCACTTAGGCGGAGTCTCCGCGGCTCGGCTCCGGTGATGCTGCTGAGCTCGCAGACACCGCCGCCAGCCGCTCGGCCCCGAGCCGCTCCGCCCACGGCGCCCACCCGCCCACTCCCGGGCCCGGGCCCGCGCGCCCCCTACCCCCGCCCCTGGCCGGCGTGAGCACCGCCGCGCTCCAGCCCAGGTACCTCGGCCCGTGACTCATCCTGCCTCTCACGCTCCCTCGTCTTTGCCATCTTCGCCAGCCCTGTGTTTCCACGGTTTGCTTTAATCGTCATCATCCCCGCTCCCCATGTTCTTCGTGGATCATTAGTATTATCAGAACACCCATGGTGTTCGGAACAGGACGGAACAGCCTCGGCGTGCATTTCCTCCCCTCCACCGTATCTTTCTCATGTACTGGTCAAGTGTTCATAGCCACAACGATGTGGTTTTTAAAGATCATTTTGATACACCCCCTCCCCTCCCCCCACACACACAGCAGACTGGGTTTTCTGGGTCTTCCAGTCTTCCTTGACCCACCCTCTGCGGTCCTGCTGTGCAATGTATCTGAAATCCCCCTCCAGAGGCACCACACCACGGCGAATCTTTAATTTGTCATTTGGAGCTCTGGATAGTCCATCTTATCATATAACTGCACTTCTCTGCTGTTGGCAGTGGATTATCTACTCTAATTCCTCTAATGATGCTCGCTATCATCATGCATTCACTTCTTAGCCTCTGTAGGTACTTCTCAAGAAACACCGATCCCAGATAAGAAAACCACTCCACCGCAGCCGACTGTGAGAAGCTTCTGCTCAATGCTTGGCCCAATAATAAGCATTAAGGATGAGCTCCCCTTGCTGATATAGGCAAAAATAGACAATCCTTTCAAAACTGTTGATGTTATTGGCTTTCAATACTTGAGACTGAATTTTGTCAATATATTTATTAAAAAAATTAATATAGAGAAGAGTTCAAATTGAACAACAATTTCTCTTAGCAATGGTGCTGGGAAAATTTGATATATTTCTCTCCTGTCCAATTCTTTTTATAGTTCTGGAAGGGATCTAGTTTTTTTGTTTTTTTTTTTTTTGGTTTTTGTTTTCCCCTCCAAGCCCCTTTATTAACTTTGTTAATAAAGAAGATAAGGATGATGGCTTTTATAAATGCTTAAAAACCCTAAAATATTCAAGTTTATAAAATTTAGGAGTTTAATTAGTTGATCTCCCATTGAATGAAGGGGGGTGTTGTTTCTATCTGGACACATCCGTTTGAATAATCTCAGTAACGGAAGTTTCACTACCTTTTAATTTTATCCCTATGTCTAAATTTCCCTTCTACCTGAAAATCTCTCAGTTCCTTGAGATGCCCATCATATCATCTTCAATTTTCTCCACAGTAAACCTTCCCAGTTTATTCAACCAACAATCTCGTAGCATGATTTTAAAATGTGGTCATTTTTGTCACCTGCCTTGGGACATTCTGGTGGTTTTTCACTTGCCTTCCTGAATAGAGGCATCAAGAACAACAGAAAGAACCAAGAACAGTGCCTGACACTCTATAATCATCATTTTTATTTGAACAACTTACCATTTGGCCTGGCTTTTTGGTAGCCATGTTGGTTATGAGAATGTCAATGAAATAAACACATAGTCCTAAAATTTTAGTCCTGTTTTGGTAACTGCTATCGCTTAGCCAGATTTCCCCTTTTCTCTAATTAAGCAATTGATGAAAGCACTCTAATCAGCATCTTTTCTTCATTTAAAAAAATTAGCCTTGTTTCCCTTAGACCAGCATATATTCAGGAGGGAACAATATATGAGTTTGAATTCTGACTCTATCAGTAATTTCATGATCTTGGCAAATCCATTATCCTCTTTGGATCTCTGTTTCTTCCCCTAGAAAGAGGGCTGAAGATATTCACCTCAAGATAGAAGAGGGATGTTAAATTAAAAGGCATATTTGGAGCATCTAGCTGTGTGCCTAATACTTTCTAGTGCTCTTTTTTTCTTTTTTCTTGCAAAGGATGTTTTAGGTGATCTCTCCGTAATTGATATTCAAAGGGGAGGAGAAACGTAGGTGACGCGTTCACTCTGTCTGATGCCTGCATCTCTGCTGGTCAATGTGAAGATACAACAAGGACCAAGTCCTCACATGGTAGACAATCAAGTTGTTGAAATTCTTCTAAGATGTCAATAAAGGAATGAGAAACCCTCAGTAGACATTAGAACTAGTTAAATGAAGTTCTTGAAGGTAGGGGCCTAATGGACAATTAACAGTGTTGTTTTCACCTGAGAGAGCTGCTGTAACAAAATACTGCAGGCTGGGTGGCTTAAACAACAGAAATTTATTTTCTCACAGTCCTGGAGGCTAGAAATCCACAATCAAGGTGTTGGCAGGATTGATTTATCCTGAGGCCTCTCTCCTTGGCCACCTTCTCGCTGTGTCCTCACATGGCCTGATCTCTGAGCAGGCCCATCCCTGCTATGTCTCCTCTGCTTATAACGACATTGTTCTTGTTGGTTTAGGCTCCCCACCCTTACGACCTTATTTAACCTTAATCACTTCTTCAAAGGTCCTATCTCCAAATACAGCCACATTCTAAGGTGCTCAGGATTAGAGCTTTACCTGTGACTTTGGGGCGGGGGGGGGGGGGGGCACACAGTTCCACTAGTCCATTACTAGCGGTTTGCATTTATTAGAATTACTTTGGGAAATGGTGATTGATGTGTATTATCTAAGTGATTTAATGATAAGAAGTCTGGTCTCAATCATCTTTATGTTTACAACTCCTTGCCTGCTCTTTGATAAGTGAGTGTGAAATCAGTGAGTGAATAAATGAATAAAGGAGAGTGAATTGACCAATGAATTAGTGGATGCCATGGTACACCCATTGATGTGTCCCCTCTGTCAGGGATTCCATCCATTATCAAGGGGTTCAAATCCAAGAGAAGTACATTTCTTTACATTTACATTTGCATCCATAAAATCAGATTTACATGCACTTAAGTAAGCAAATAAATGCCCAAGGTAGATGTGCCAAAGTGTGTGGCACAGATGATTAGTTCCTGAAGCTACTGTACAAAAAATATCCAATAAACATAGAAAAAATATGCATAATATCTCCTCCTTAGAGGGTTTCCCTGGTAGCTCAGCTGGTAAAGAATCTGCTCAGCTGGTAAAGGTGAGAGACCTGGGTTGGATCCCTGGGTTGGGAAGATCCCCTGGAAAAGGGAAGGGCTACCCACTCCAGTATTCTGGCCTGGAAAATTCCACGGACTGTATAGTCCATGGGGTCGCAAAGAATCGGACACAACTAAGCAACTTTCACTTCCTCCTTAGAAACTCACAAGGTACCTTAAGAAATAAAAGGTGCTAAGAAGCAAGTTACTTACTGCAGTAACAAAATTTGTTTTGCTTGGTTTGGCCTGGCATTCCCCAACTCTATTTGGACAGTGATGAAACCGCCCATTCCCTAAGGGACAAAGCATACTTTGGACAAGTACTGGGAAAAAATCTCATCATATGAGCTTGGCACCCAGAGATGTTGACTAGAGAGACTATGAAACTTCTCCTGAGATGCCCCTTGCCCAGCCAATGAAATCTACGGGAAAATGTCTTAAATCTTTATTCATAAAATATGTATCAAATGCCTGTCAGATCAACACTAACCCTATGTTAGGGACTTAAGTCAGAAGAGATGGCTGAGACCAAGGTCCTCTCAGGTAAAATTCTAAGCTCTCTTTTCCACTGATGTCCTCAAATCATCATTTCTTGAAAGATGTCTAAAATTCAACATCACTGATAACTGCTAGTTTAACTTAGTAGCTAAGACTATAACTTCCAGGTAGAAAAATCATTGAAATGAGGTCAAGTTCAGATCCTTACTATACCATTTGACAGATGGAATGGGTTTAAAAGTGCTTTTCCCCAAAGTTCAGGTCTATTCAGAACCTCAAAATATGACTGTATTTGGAAATGGATCTTTACAGATGATGTTAGATGAAATAGATCATATTGTAATAGGATGGGTTATAAGTCCAATGACTTTTGTCCTTATAAGAGGAGAGGCTCAGATACACTGGGAGAAAGACCATGTGGAAGCAGGCAGAGGAGGGGGTGAGGCAGCCCCAGACCCAGAAACACAGGGAGCCACTGGAAGCTGGTGTTGGCAGGAAGGGTTCTCCTCCGCAGACCTGGGAGGAGGTTTGGCCTACTGACCCCTGGATTTTGGACTTGCAGCCTCCACAACTGAGAGGCTAAACCTCTGTTGTTTCAAACAGTTTTGCAACTTGTGCTGCATTGCTATAGAAGCCCTAGAAAGGTGTTACAACATTTATGTGTGTTTGGGTGAAGTATACCTTGCTGAGCCTTATTTTGCATATCTACAAAATGTAAATAACACTATCCACCTTCCAGGATTTTGGTAATGTTGAAAGCTGGGGTCTGAGACTATGGGAATGAAGACTGAATATAAGTTAATGGCCCTGAAAGGATTAGCAAAGTATGACCCATGAGTCAAATGCAGCCCAAAGCCTGTTTTTGTGAATAAAGTTTTATTGGAACACAGCCACACTCACTGACTGATGTAATATCTGTAGCTGCCTTCCTGCCATGATGGTACAGTGGAAACCATGCAAATCCTAAAATATTAACTATCTGC